CCTAAAGGCGACGTCTACACTAGGCTACAAATACCTATGTGCTAGAATTGAATCCGGGGGAAATTGACCTCGACTAATGAGGTCAACACCATCGTTTAAAGGCATGCTTATTTCTATTTTAACTTTTAGTACTTCTACCTGAGACTACTAAAAATATGAAATAAAATAGCTTTTTAATTATTGTCAATTGTTATAAATTGCAGTTGAATTGAAAATGAATAAGAGTTGGATAACATGCATGCCATAATGATTGCCTTATTTTGGCATTCTCATTAGACTTATACCAAAATACATGCATGCCATAATGATTGCATATTATTTTGGGGAGATAAGTCTAATGAGAATGTATATGAAGTATGTGGAGCATCAAGATGGACTCATAATCAGAAGAGAGATATTACATAAGATAAAAAAGTTCAGATGAAACTTGCTAAGATTCTGATATATTTTTCCTTGATTCCAAGACTTCAAAGATTATTTAAAAAAAAATGGCAGAAGAGATGACTTGGCATGCCACACAACGAAATACAGATGGTATGTTGCGACACCCAGCTGATGGAGAAGCATGGAAATCATTTGATTACAAATTTCCTGATTTTACAGCAGATCAACGTAATGTTCTCCTTGGTTTAGCTACTAATGGTTTTAATCCTTTCAAGATTATGAGCAGCACATACAGCATTTGGCCAGTGATTCTTGTGCCATATAATATGCACCCATGGAGTGGAATGAAACAATCATCATTCATTCTTTCAATGATTATACCAGGTGAAAAAAGTCCTGGAAATGACATTGACATTTATCTTAAACCTCTGATTCATGAATTGCAACAATTATGGAAAGGTGTTCAATGTTATGATGCAGCAAGTGGAGAAAATTTCATAATTCGTGCAACATTATTATGGACTATTAATGTCTTTCCCGTATATGGCATGTTGTCGGGGTGGAGCACCAAAGGAAAATTTGTTTGTCCATGTTGTGCCCACAATACGGAGTCCTTATGGTTGTATAAGAGTAAGAAGCTTGCATATATGGGCCACTGACGTTGGCTTAAATCATCTCATTTATTTTGCAAGCAAAAATAGTACTTTGATAATATAGATAAACTCAGTTTGGCGCCTTCAAGGATTTCTGGCAGAGAAATTTATACTGAATTACAGAATTATCAATTCACTCTTGGAAAAATTGATAAAGATAGGTTAAAAATATTAAAGAGAGGGTATGAAGCTGCAATGTCTATCAATGACAGTATGGTCACTAAGTGGAAGAAGAAATCAATATTTTTTTATTTATCTTATTGAAAATATAACACATTACCTCATAATTTAGATGTTATGCATATAGAGAAAAATATTTTTGATAACTTCATTTCTACATTGCTAGACCTTGAGAATTCTAAAGATAACTTACAAGCTCGACAAGATTTGATTCAAATTGGAGTAAAGCCTGAACTGCATCGTCATGTTCTTTCAGATGGTAGTTATGTTTTACCACCAGCTCTATTTACCATGTCTAAGAAGGATAAGATGATGTTTTGTGAAGTTTTCAAGAAGATGAAGTTACCCAAGGGTTATTCATCAAATATTTATAAGGGTGTTAACATTAAAGAGTGCAAAATAATAGGTCTAAAAAGCCACGATTGTCATGTACTAATTGAGAATATTATGTCTATTGCATTAAGATCATGTGCTCCATCAAATAAAGTTTTGACCATAATTGTTGGGATTTCACATTTCTTGAAATTCATATGTGGGGAGGTCATAAATCCAATTGAACTTGACCAGAAACAGAAGGAAATTGCATTAACTTTATGTAATATGGAGAAGTACTTTCTCCCATCATTCTTCACTATCTTGGTCCACTTGCTCATCCATTTGGTTGAAGAAGTGAGATTTAATTGGTGGGCATGTACATTATAGATGGATGTACCCTTTTGAGAGGTAATATATCTTTCTTATTGCTTAAATATTTTATTATTTAGTGCGGTATATTTATGTGCATTTTTATAATTTACAGATTTTTTTTAGTATTAAAGTATTTTGTTGGAAATAAATCACAACCTAAAGGGTCAATTGCTGAGAGATATATCGCTGAGAGGGAATTTTATTTTGCTCAAAATATCTGGATGGTTCGCCGACTTTCTCCAAGTCCATATCAACTACAATTTCATCTAAGGATGATGGTGTTTCCTACAAGTTTTTAACTGCCGATAAACCTTTGGGTCAAGTGTCTATATTTGTGTTAGATGACATATCATTGATTCAAGGTCATAGATACGTGCTCCGACATTATAATCATTTATCAAAGTATATTGATCTGTACAAGGAGGAAGAGAGACAAAAAAGAGCCAACAGCGTTCCTCTAATGCCATTAGCTCTTGATAAACATGTTAATGAACATATTCATGATTGGTTCAAACGAAGAGTAAGATATCAAAACTTTTCCTTACACATTTTTAAGATCATATTCCTAATTTGACTAAGATTTTTTTTGTTTAGATTATATATACAGATGATTCAGCAGTTTCAGAAGAAATTAGAGTCCTCGCAGTTGGTCCTAAGCAAATCACATGAAGATTTAAAGGATTTTATATTAATGAGTATCAATTTCATACTAAAGATCGTGATGAGAACAAGAAAACACAAAATTATGGCATTGTTAACAAAACTGAAGTTGGAAATTTTTCTTATTATGGTCGACTGAATGATATTATTGAGCTTAATTACTCCGACTTATTTCGTGTGGTCTTATTCAAGTGTGATTGGGCTAACACAACTTTAGCCGGTACTAAAGTAGATCATTACGGAAATACATTGGTTAACATTTCACGATTAATACACACAGGTGATAAATGGGCAGTTGATCCATTTGTTTTCTCATCACAAGTTGAGCCCGTGTTTTTCATTGAAGATCCAAAGAATAAAAATTGGAACTTTGTCTTACCAGTAAAGGCTAGAGATGTGTTTGATTCAAGCATTTCTCAACAAAACAATCATATGTGAATTTATGCAAAGTTCCTGTCAATCAAGATTTTATCTTGTGATTTTTTTTTCTGTGCAATACATGGCTTTCTAACTTGGACTTTTAAATGTCTTGCTTCTCAGTTCCTGTCAAACAATAATGTCTTGAATGTTTCTTGTGAAAAGAATGTTTGTTTTGGTTTTTGTGAATTTAAAGTCTTCTCAGTTCCTGTCAAATTAGTTGGCAACTCTATGGCTATGCTGACCTCAAATGCTAGAAAATAAACTAAATTAACTTGGATCAATTGTATTCCTCTGAGACGGGCCAATATATAATAGGGATCACCACGGAAGAACTAGTATTGAAAGCAAGACAAACTCCAGCGGCTTGAGCTTAAGTCTACCAGGTTCTACTTTTCTTCCCTTTGATGATCCTCCTTGAGCATCATTCTCTATT